CCCTACATGCAACAACTTAAACTTTGTCAAAATACATATTGGGGATGATTTCCCAAGGTGAAGGTGGGGGAGCCCTACACCACATGTCTGCCAATAATGATGATTTCTGGAATATTTCAGCCAGAGCATTGTTAGTCATACCAAAAAAAAAACAGATACAGCAAAAGATGTAATCCATGTTAAATTTTTGCAGCTTCCTTTAGAAACTCATGTCTATAGCTAAAATCATGTGTCTGTTTTGGTATACTTCTTACTATCCCTCCTCCTAAAGACATCTACTGAAAAAATGACAGCTCTCAAATCCTTAGAGACTCTGGTCTAGATCCTCAGATTAATCTCAGTTTTAAACTCTGCTGCCTGTAGTAAACACTGATGCTAATGACTTGGGCCTTAGACTTTTACAGAGAAACTCATATTTTCTTTTCACTGCTCATGTTCCAGCTCCCTGTCATCCCTCTGTAACCTTGATGTGCGCATGCAGTGGACCTGGACTTGGGTTGCTTCTGTGCCTGCAGGGACCCCAAAGAAATACCAAAGCAGTGCAGAGGATGAGTCCCCTCAGAACAACACTAGCGTAGAGGGAGCAAGAAGGGAGCAGGATAAAGGTCCTGGGAGCTGTCAGGGGTCTGCAGCTAGGGGTTAAGCATCTAAGGCTGACTTAGACACACTGCAGAAGACTGAGCTGAGCAAGGAGAACAGTGGGCAGAAACAGAGCGGCTGACCTTAGAACCAGGGAAGCAGAGGAAAACTGGTAAGAGAGGGTAGATGGGACCAACAGCTTGAGCCCAGGCAAGAAGCATGTGGAAAGGCAGTAGGCTGAGGCCCCAGAGGAGGCCAAGACCAGAGATGCTGGCACACTGGGAAGCAATATGGAAGGGGAGCAAATGGGTGGAAAGGGCAGGCAGTGCTGAGACTGCCTGGGCAAACAGGAGCATTTGAGGCCATCGGCTGGCCATGCTAACTAGAAGCCAGTAATGGCTGCAAAATCAGACTGGGGAGAGCAGTGGGAAGCCAGGAAGCACAACAGAGTATTTACTGAGGAGTGGGAATGGCAGCACAAAACCAGGCCTGGAGGAATCAAAACAGGAACTGGAAGTGCAGAAGGATGACAGGGACTTGCTGAGCAGGCCAAGATCAGGGTGAGAAGGCTAACAAGCAGAGAATGAAAAGGCTCACTGAGCTGGAGAGGAGGAGCCCAAGGCAAAGAAGAGTCAGGACAGAGAGATCCTGTAAGGGACATGGCAGGCAGTGAGTATAGAAGCTTGGCTGTACTAATAGTCCCCTCCAGTATCTGGTGTCTCACATCTCACCATTCCTTGACTCTCCAAAACCATCAGTAAAATCCTCCATATCCTCAGGGACTGTCCTAGCCACCCCCCTGCCACTCCAGATTAATTATCCCATTCACCCAAGCAGCAAAAGCTTGTGTGCTGCCTCTAAAGATTAAACAGTGATCCAAAGCAGGTCAGCCTGTGACCTTGTGAATTCAGAGTCTAGTCTTCAGGTTTTATTGCAGTGGGAGGGTGTTATCCTACATATTTACACATAAACGTCACTAAAGAAAAGTATTAAGGTTGCTAAGTCAGGTATTCACAAGACCTCATTCCAGTCACTGCACAGAAGAGACTTGGTTCTGAGGACCAGGGAGAGTGAACAGTACTGAGGACTGCAGGTTTAGAGGTGAAAATCTGACAGATAATGCTACCTTAAAACAAAATGCAGCTACTGCACAGAAAAGAAATCTTATGCCAGGCACTAAGCAATAAGGATAACACTACAGATGGGCTAGATGTCCATGAAGCAACTATTGTATTGTCCAGTGTGGGCACTGAACTAACAAGGGAAAAAATAGTTATGATGTAATGAAGGATTTCATAATGCACAAAAGAGCCAAATCAAGGATTTCCCAAGTTATCTGGCTTTTCATAGCTTCTGTTCACTTTGAAATCTTAGTGCTTAACAGACTTTATTACATATATATTTAAAAAAACCAAAGGGATACTAGTGCAGGCAAAGATACCAGTATTGAAAGGCGTTTTTGCTCTGCATTTCAAGCAACATAGATTCTCACCGTTGGACAGACACTTAAACATTCCTTTCATATAGCATAGCAGTGACTGAGTTGTTTTTGAACAGAGAAGCAAATGCAGATGATCTGAAGACAGCCTTCAGCACAATTGACCCCCATATTGATGATCAGACATTAGAGGTCTACATTGGCCTGGCTTATCAGGTCGGAAAAGAACAGAGAGATCAAGATGTTCTGCCTGTGGAAACTGCACTTGAGAGACTACTGGCTGGAGATGTAAGACGAGTAGGGCCCTCACCTAAAGAGGAAAGCCAGACAGATTGTGAAGAAGGCGAGTAACAAGACATCTAGTATTATGAATAAGAGACTGTTTGAACAAAGCTATAAGTCAGAGCTACTGTACTAAATATTGCTTTCCATGTACATATAAATCCACCTAGTAACTAACAGCTGAGAGGACAGGCTGGTTTGAACTATCAGAAGCACTTTCAGCTCACGCAGCAAAGCATTTCAATGCAGTTTCATGACCCATGTAGAGTCATTTCAGCTGAGCAAGACTTGCATGTGGCAGGCTGACTGCTCCCCAAACAGAGGATTAGCATTCTCACAGCACTGGGGCACGCCAGCAAGTTGGGCTATCTGCATGGTAACAAAATGATTATGCTCCAACAGTCATTACTTGGACTTGGGAGTCACCACCAAATTCAAGCCTGCAGTATGGTTGCTTTAGCCCTTTTGCAAAGTAGGCCTTATGGTTCATTGGCTCAGAAAAGAAAGGCAGGATTTCACAAGATGCATTTGTAAAATAAGGTGCCATCCTCATAGTTCAAAGCATGCCGGTTTGCTAGCATGTCTTTCCCCAAGGAGACATTCATCCCAGCGTAGTGGCTGTTATCCAGTGTAGTCACTTTGAAAGAAATTCAAGTGGTGCCCCAGGAGTAGGTTTAATCAAACTCTCATCTGCAAAAATAATCCAAGCACACTGAAATCTGTTCCTTGCTTCAGGGAAGAGACCACATGTGTTTTGGTAACTGTCCTTTCAAACACAGGCATCAACTAGTCTTTCCTATTCTTTAGTATCTTCTCTACCCAGCGTATAGCTCTCTCCAGGAAGGGGAAAAAGGGTTCCTAAAGCAAAATGCCAGTAGGAAAGCAGGTCTGCTATGGTTATACCCAAATTCTTGAGCAAGTGGAGCAAACAGACTCAAGAACCAATTACCCGAATTGTTCCTTTTCTCACAACACGGTTTGAAAAGTAGAAAGGGGAAAGCTGAAAACAGAAAATGCCTTCCTGAAATAACAAAGCACTAGTTTTGTAAGCATTTGCAAAGAGACTCCTGCAAAAATGCAATGTGATTTGTGAGGTGGAAAGGCATCACAGTCTGTGTGAGGGTAAGTACCACCAAACGTATGAGGCCCTTGTGATTCCTGCCTTGAATATTGAACTTGGTGCTGTACCCCTCCAGCACAAACAAGTTGCAAAATATCAGGAAAGGAGCTATAAATGGATTAAGAAAGGAGATGCATCATATAGCTAGAAACCAAATGCCATAACTGCACATATATCTCTAGGAGTGGTCTGAAACAAGCAGCAGTAATATGGTAAAATTGAGTATATCTAAAAAGAGCAGGGAACTTGAATGCAGAGAAAGTGTTTGGCAGATGAACATTAATTGGCAAAGCTCTTCAAGAAGGCATCTAATGGGGAGGCTAGAGAAGGCACTGGGCTAAAGAGAGCAGGAATCTTCTGTTTTGATTTGTTTCACCTTGAGGATTTTAGGTTCCGAAAGGTTAACTGCTGTTCACAGTGCCAAGTATTTCTTTTGCTCTTCAAGTTACATTGTTAGGACTTGAAAGATGGCACTCTCCCTAAAAATTCTGAATTAAGTTAACCATTACTTTACTGCCATTAGAAGCTGAACACTTCTCAACAGAAGAGAAGGAACAGATAGGGAATCTTCCCTCTCCCTCTTACAACATTCCCAACTATCTAAGCACTATCATCTACTCCCTTCAACTGGAAGCTGTTCAGAACAAGAACCCAGCAGTTAATTAAGCTGGCTACAATTAATTGTGTGTCCCAGTAGCATGACTGAACAAGGAGTCAGCAAAATAAAAGAGGAGCCAAAAACTTTCTGTGAGGTTCTCTCCATTCTCTCTTTAAACGCTCTTAGGAATACAGGGGTTTTACTGTGTTTCATCAACAGAAAGAAAAGAAGATGGAAATTTCATTACTGTTTCAGATCAAAATTTTCAAACTGGCATGCAAAGCCACTCCATTCTGGACCATAATCAGGACATTGGTACTTTTCCCAATATAATTTATATGTAACTTCAATCACTTCAGCAGAAGGGTCCTAAAATATTTCAGAGCGTTCCCACTGCAATCAGTAGTTTCAACTGAGCCCAGGAATACTGTTACTTCTTCCTCAAGCCACCAGGCTCACACGGCTTAATCCCAAGTCAAGGACCAACTTTTGCAAATGGGATTTAAGAACAGGCTTATGAGGGGGAGCAATAAATATTGAGCAGCAGGCATCCTGTGTGGCCAATTTGGTGTAACCAGACTGCCTGCACCAGTGCAATCAAAGCAGAGTCTGTGCAGACTGCACCACTCTGGCAAAATCAGAAGAGCCACCAGTGTGATGATGTTTGTGCTGAGCTTTGGTTTATCCCAACTGGAAGTGCTAACTGTCTTCAGCCCCACTCTGTCCTACCTAAGGAGTTCTGCAAAGCAAGAGTCTTCAGCCATCCCTTTCTCACTGATGCCTGGAAAGTAATTAATCAATTTAAATACTAGAGGCTTGAGTTTTTCATGTCCAAGTCAGAGGAGCTAAAAAAAAAAGTAATAATTTTTCCTTACAGAAAATAAATAGTAACTTTAAGCATCTTACCTTGGGTACTAAA